GTTTTATACTTTAAACAGACTATTTTTTCCTTCAACAAAACATACAAAATTACGATTTACTCTAAGGATAAACATTCCTATTTATACTATAACATTTTTTTGACAGAGGACTTCGTACCTTAGGGGAGTGGGCACAAGGGATACACTTAATGATGATGGTCTGACAACCACATTTATAAAAATAACGACTTAAATATGTTCATTTTTTATTAATTGTGACCCACTTCAACTACTAGTATTTTTATTGCGAAATACAAGGCCCCAAACAGGGTTGCGAATTTTCATGAAATTATGGCTGTGAGTTTTCGTACTATAAACTTTGATTATCTAAAGAAATTCAGCAAATTATGATTTTAATATTCCACAAAGATGATATGTATATTATGCAATGTATACAAGAAAAATTAATTTTGATGTTTAACAAGACTTTTTGAGATCATTATGTTTATATACTTCTCTTTGGTGTGTCGATGTTACACCATAATATGCGTGAGTAGGATTTCCAAATATAATAATTGAGGGCTTCGGCGATCTCACAATATTCACATGTGGACTTGTTTTGGGTAGCGAAAAAAAATTGGGGAAGTGGATCCTGATGAATTAACTACATCAAATTATCGACGAAAATGCCTCTAATATTCTCTCTAAAGGTGCTATTGTAACCTAACATTACCATGGGGTCCTATAGAAATTTGATGTATTTACTAGAATATGTATCTACATAAATTGCATAATCTAATCGATGCTGAATTCTGCTAGGACTGTATAATTCTATCTTATCCTAGTCCAGAGAGAATACATTTTGGAAATGCTAGATTTTCGATACTCAGCACCAAGATCGATTCCTATCTACCAGACGTAACTGTCTGTACGCTTTGTCCTTGTTTTTTTGACTCGTCAAACTTCTCATAAGATACAACAAAATATTACGCACTTTGAAAAAAATTTTCAAAGTGAGTTAAAATTGGGACAAAATCTACGCACTTTGAACAATTTTTGCAAAGTGCGTCAAATTTGGGACAACATTAACGCACTTTGTAAAAATTTTTCAAAGTGCGTTAAAAGTTTACATCAACATTTTTTACCATGGAGGCACTTAACGCAATTTTAAAAAATATATTTCAAATAAAGTTTCCGGACTTAGATTTTAGTAATAGACAACATTGAATTGATGAATTGATCTATCCTCATCGAGAAAGAGGAAGATACCAATTTCTTTATCTTTTCTTACCAAATATCTGTATTTATAATTCTCTCCATAATTATAAGTTAACGTAAAATAATGAAAAAATTGAATAAGATTTCCTTTAAAAAAATAATACCGGTAATAGCGCACCCTCTCGTTTATAGAGGAGAGGGTAGGATCTAACGAACAATAGCTGCTGAACATTGGCCAAAGTAATTACATATTCTAATACAAATAAAAAATATAAATATAAAATGTATTAATATTTTTTTCATGCAACTTTAGATTAATCTATTTAAATAACTGTAAAATAAAGGTCATCATCTTTCACAGGAATTAGAAGAATATTGTACTTCCAAAAACTTATAACTATAACTATAAAAAGACCGTTACGTTGTGTTGGAAAATTATTTTAATCAGGATACAAAATTGGACTCCATTTTGTTGCATTTCCCGTACCCCTAACGTCGATGTCTCAGATCCTGAAGTGACGTCATGAACAAAAAGTTATTCAACGAGGTTCAAAATCGTATCTAAAAGCTAAATCATTGACTATTTTAAGTCATGCACATTTTTTCAAAATGTGTTAATATGGTCGATATTAACGCACTCTGAAAATAAAATTTATTTTTCAAAGTGCGTTAATTTGGAGTGCGTTGTAACAGTGCAGCCAAAATATGTTTAACAATTAAGAATTGAGTAATTTCACAGATGATTCGTACTTAAAACATACCATTGTCTGCAGTAAGAAGGTGGTGATGTTCCTCGAAGTTATAATTTTAATTAAAAAATGAAGGTACATTGTATAATATTTAAAATCTTTTTTAGAAGTCTTAACTAGTCCAATTCCACAGGAAGAATTCAAAGGGGGTGGGGGATACAACCAATCATTTTTTGAGATTGGGTGGACAAGCCATGAAAGTCACCAGGGTCAATTTGAGGTTATACACTCATAAGATTCTTTGTTTCCAATGAAATTTGAAGACAGGGAACAATAATCAAGCTCAAGAGTCCCTTGAAACTTAAACTGGGAGGAGAGAAAACTTCAGAGGTTGGACCAGGTACCAAACTGGGAGGAGAGAAAACTTCAGAGGTTGGACCAGGTACCAAACTGGGAGGAGAGAAAACTTCAGAGGTTGGACCAGGTACCAAACTGGGAGGAGAGAAAACTTCAGAGGTTGGACCAGGTACCAAACTGGGAGGAGAGAAAACTTCAGAGGTTGGACCAGGTACCAAACTGGGAGGAGAGAAAACTTCAGAGGTTGGACCAGGTACCAAACTGGGAGGAGAGAAAACTTCAGAGGTTGGACCAGGTACCAAACTGGGAGGAGAGAACACTTCAGAGGTTGGACCAGGTACCAAACTGGGAGGAGAGAAAACTTCAGAGGTTGGACCAGGTACCAAACTGGGAGGAGAGAAAACTTCAGAGGTTGGACCAGGTACCAAACTGGGAGGAGAGAAAACTTCAGAGGTTGGACCAGGTACCAAAGAGGAGTAAGCATCCCCTTTCAACCGGTCACGCCAATACCTTTAGCTCTTTTTAATGATAGAATCCGTAGGCAATGCAAAAATAATGATCAACAAATGTATGAAAATAGTCTATCACAACATTCGACTTAAGGACGTTTGATTTTGAGATTTTGAGCGTAATTTGGTCAGGTCCTTTATTTATAAAATTCTGCATCATTTTTAAGTTCTAACATTAAATCTGAATTCTACAAAGCAAATTTAACTACATGTATATTCAATATCGACGACGTATATAATTATCCACTCTCTACCATCGGCTCATACATTCACCTCTGTCGTTGGCTCGCATATATCACAGTGATAAACACAAAAAATAGTGGGTTTGCTTTAATACATTATAATTCAATTTCTATGCTTATGTCTGGGTTTTGAGATTGATATTTACTAAATCAATCAAGAACTTTTAATTTAATTTGAAAAAATTCTGCAAATATCATGTTTTATGCGTTACGTTAAAAATTTTGACGTGAGCCCATTGCAGAGGTGTCTGAGAGAGGAACGAATGACAACTCTGCATGGTAGATTGATAATTATCACACAATTAACAATGGTTATTTCCTTTCATATGTCCATACGATACATCCCGGTGAGTTTGAAATAAGAGATACCACAGAATCTTACACATTTGTTTCACATTCAGATATTTTACTAGAAAAAAGACGTTGATGGTTGTAAAGCAACCAAGCTTAATGATAAACGTGATGACTTTAACTTTTCAATTGTCAATTTCCCTACTTATGCAGCAATATACCTTCATCACCTGCACCTCATCTCTCAGTTGATTAGATACGCAAGAGCATGCTCTACGAATGAACAATTTCTCAAACGAGGTAAGTTATTGACAAACAAGTTGATGAAAAAAGAATATCACAAGTCTTGTTCAAAGTCAATATTTCTTTAGTTATATGGTCGATACAATGACCTTGTCAGCAATTAAACACAAGTATTCTATCATTAAGTCAAATGCTGACTGACGTTTTTCATATATACTAATTGTTAGTGTGTATATCTATGTAAGTATAAAGATTTAAAAATTGATTCTGGTAAATACTGATGTTGTAGAGTAGAATATACCCAGCTTTCTAACTGGAATCTTGTTTCCTTGGGTTAAATATCACGATAGAGACAAATTTCCCCATCATTCTTTCTCAAAGTAAATTTATTCCTCAATACCTAAATCATATTTACAATATTTTGAATAAATGGGTTTTTTTAATTGTTTAAATCGTATCATTATCAGACAATCTTAGGATATTTGATAATTTGTTTAATTCTATATTTTTACATATATAATTTGTACAGCCGTAAAGTAGTGCTGATATACATTGTAGTTTTCTTGTACACATATGGAGAAGAAGAAATAAAATTTCTGTCATATAAAAGAAGTTCCTTCACTTAAGAAAATGTTATGTTTAATTATCAAATAAGTTATTCCTTAAATAAATGAGAAAAGGAAGAATCTGAAAATTATTCTTAATAATGACAAGACATTTCCATTTTCTCAGAGAACACAGTGAGCATTATAAAGAGGAACTAAGGCCTATCATTGCAGGAGGAGGTGCTGGTTTTGACGGAAACTTAATTGATTCTACTTGTTGTATATTAAGACAGAGAATGGTTCTTTAATTTAATGTGCAATATTCGCTGAGAAAACCGGAGCATTGAATACCATGTGCTATAATCACAGTGCACCCAAACATTCAATTTTCTTTAAAAGTGGAATTCACATTTAAACTCCATTATTATGAAACCAGATTTAAAGAAGGTTCGTAACTTGTAATAAAGAGGAATTAGAATTTCCATTCCAGCTGTTTTTTTTTTGTTGAAAAATATGATTCTAAAGATTTCAGATGAATTGGGGATATTCACTGATTTGAGTATTTGTGTAATTTATTTCACGAGTTGGACAGAATTTACAGAAAGATAATTTCACGAGTACGAAGCAGAAATTCACTTCCCTATAGTTTATGACGTCATCAGTAAAAGGAGGTTAACAATGAGTAAAAAAAAAAAGAAATAAATTAAGTTTTTCCTTATAAATTATACTGGAACTACTGTCAATACCATTGATGTCCTGGGAATTTCCTCATAAATTTCATGAATGTTTATCATTTAGAAGTGAAATCTTGAGTACCTAGAAGTTCCATATCATAACCTCACATGTGTGTATTTAATACTTTACGTTGAAAAAAAATCACCCAATCAGCAAATAAAACAAACAAAAACACTCATCAAAACAATGGAAACATTCAGAAAAGATATGATAAACTAAAAACAGAAACAAATAATATATATTCAGTTTATAGCATCAAGTTGCAGCAAAGGACAGGCTTTGGGGAACTTGTTCGCGTACCAAGTTTTGAATCAGGTCAGCTGACCGTATCAAAAAGTGATCACCAAGGAATTCCTCCAAGATAACAAACACACGGTGGAACGAGACTAAAATATACTCGTGAGACTGGTGTGCAGTGGGGAGCCAAAATAGCTTTAAGAAAATACCGTCACAATCCAAAAATATTAATTTTTGTTTGTGTGAATTGTTTGCCATTTCGTCATAATGGATTATGTCTTTGGATTATCAATGGTGCTGGCGTTAATGATAAGAGGTAAGAGAGATCTGAAGGGCAGCGCCGCCTGTTGAACTCCTTTTCACCCCATCTCTTCATTTCTCACTCTTCTGAGGAGCCACAAAAGCAAGTAAATATAAATTACAAAAGCTATATTTTTGCACATTTTAATGTTACTGAAAAATATTTCATTCGATTCTTTTTATAATTAAACATTTTTTCTTAAAAGCAGCCTAGCTGGCATCTGAGGATTTATCTAAAATCCAGATATCAAATGTCGTTAATTAACCTACAGAAGTCCGCCAGCTTTGTTTATTCAGAGTGTACGCATTAAGTTTAATTCAAAATTAACAACACAGACTTCTTTGGGTTCGTAGTAAAACGTGTGCGTAAAATCCCAGTCCTTTGACATGGAGCAAATGATTTCGAGTTCATCTTTTTTCTCACACTGGTGACCGCTGTGATGCCTCCCGTAACACACCAGGCGTCCAGCAGGGATGGTTGTCTTTATTATACCCCCCGCTTGAGCAGGGATGGCAACTCCTCTCATACCACTGAATGAAATTTGATGCAACTTTCACAGAATCTTTATTACATATTGCCATTACAATTCTGTTAAGCAATAGAGGCTAAGCAGTTTCTTGATGAGTTACCACGCCGTGCAGTTTGCACTTCTGTGCGGCGACATATCGTGTGATCATCCAAGCTGCTTTAGTTTGATGTTTATCAGCTGCGATGTGATTCTGGTGTTCAAACAATATTTCACAGCGTTTATACAAAACTCTATTACGAGAGTTTTGTTAAGATGTTGGCAAGTGGATTTAAAAAAAATAAGCACGAAATCTCACAAACTCTGTAATTTATCGTCAAATTACAAGAACAACAAACAGAATTACATGCATAAGATTGTTGCTGGTAATTAGCTTTTATTGATGTAATTTAGACAATTTCTGGCATGCATTGGATCTGTGATGGTTGCATTCCAGTTTCTCGTTCTATTCAGGGATTCAATTAATAATATCAGTGAATGGTGGCAAGAAATAAGCAGGATTTAAAATAAGAAGGATTTAAAAGATGGGAACTGTGTGTTTCATGTCTGAAAATTAAGCATTTTTTGTCCTCTTGTCGAAAATAGCAGCAAAAGATGTAAATAAATTCTTTCTTAAAAAACAATATTTTATTCACATAGCTAGGAGAGAATAGGATTGGGCAGCAGATTCAGCCTATTTTAACCCTCTCCCTAAGCATATTCTTATTTGATGTAGCTATTATTGGGAATCATTTATTCACTGTTCTATGCCAGTGCATGTAAGGAAGTAAGACGCAAAGATACAATACTTCGTTTCTTTGATGAATTCTGCGGAAGATTATGCAGACGTTGGACTAAACAGGATGGAGAAAACCTGAACACTTTGTCAAAATGGATGTTAAACTCTTGATAGAAAGTTAAAATGCAATACGAGGGTTATCTAATCTTCAGTTTTCACCAAATAGGATGTTATAAAGGATTGAACAATATATTATGGTTTTAGCATACGAGGCTTACTATATCTTAATTCTTTGTTTCTAAGACTAATTCAAATATAGCTCTTTAAGCACTTGGTTAAAATTCTTCATCTAGAAATCCAACATATACTCAAGGACGAAACTGTTCAAAATCACAGCTCAGTGTTTAATACTTTTAAAAAGTATTAAACAATAAGATGTGAATCTAACCTACATGTATGTACAATTTATGAAGCAGAGGAAGAAACAATACATCATTTAATTTGGCAATGTCCAGTTGTAAAACAATTTCTACATGGTTTTGTTGGACACTGTCACCAAAAAAGACATTGTATAAAATCTAGATTGTAAAACTTTTATATTTGGAGATATAAGTAATACAATATCATCAAAATCTTTAAATATTTTGCTTATGTCAATGAAGCAATACTAGTATTTACAGATGTGCTGTCAACAAGCCTCTCAAAGTTTTCTGAAAATCAAAAATATTTATAAGTCATTAAAAAATACACAATAGAGACTTTCAGAAAATTGAAAAAAAAAAAACAAAACAAAACAAAATACAAATATTTTTCAAACATCAATAAATCAAAAATATACCTACTTTTATGTCACCCACCTTCTTTTAACTTATTCTCTCTCTCTCTCTCTCTCAAAAATGAAAACTGTAATGAAAGATTGTGTTTAATTTATGTTTGTATTATAGCGTTGTGGAATTTTAAGCATGGGAATTTCGATCTTCCATATATATACTGGATTTCTAAACTTAAACAAAAATCTTCACAAAAATAAACTGTTTGGTATAGTATACTGTACACTTTACCAAGCTCTCTATCTTAATGATTGTACTCATAAGTACTCTTGAGCTGATAAGATTCTGAAGTTCCTCATTAACAAATTATATAGTGTGTTGGAAATTCCGAAAGGTTCTTATAGTGTTCCTTGATTAGCTGACATTTTAAAATTCTTATGAAACAGAATTTATTTAAAAATATTCTACGTGAGAAGAAAATACTTGCTATGGTCTTTAATTAAGCATTCAAATAAAACGACGATTTTTTTTTCAATTAAGATACCATGAATACTTATTTCCATTCATATGTTCACTATATATTCTTGTCAGGTAAAAAAAAGACTTCACATGAGTTTACCATAAAAGTTTAATATTTGGATGTTTAACGACTTCAGACTATAAGCATGATAAGGGCGATCGAAAAAAATTATCACAAACTAGACTACTTCGCCTTTCCATCTTCCACTTTATTTATATGGTAATATTCGCCATTATGCATCTATATAATTATGATGTTTATTTCCCAACTTAGTCGATACTCAAGAGCATGCTCTGAATACGAATACTTTTTAAACCGAGTCAGGTAACGAATAGGTAAGTTGATGTTACAGGCCAACAAATTGTAAATTCTATGCTTGTTATGATGTTCTTGTAGCAAATACAATTTATCTTTGGATCGTATTTTGACGTTTTCAGATAAAATTAACTTAACTTAAGAATCCACTTTTTATGCATTGTTCATATAGATTTGTATTGTTTGAGGATTTGTTTAGATTGATCACTCTTATCGTCGCCTTTTTCGTTAAGATTAACACGATGTCACCTTTAAAGGTTTTTAAGTTCAAATCTATGAGACCAATAAAACAGGTTTATGGCAGGAATTTAAGGGGGATGTACGGGCACCTTTAGTGCAGTGAGAGCGAAATGTAAACATTTCTTCAAATGGCTAAAATACATTATATTTTGATCAAATTTTAAGTCTTTTTGATAAAGATACAATAAATATGCATAACCGAATGCATGTTGTGCATATATAATCTATACTTTTGCAGAAAAATGCTTTTGATATGCTCCTTAGAACTGCGCAGCTACAGAATTCAGCAGAGCCTTAAAAAATCCAAAAAAATATGCAAACTATGCATTAATGTTCTCTCTACAACCATTTGTTGAGAAAATGTCTAATTTTTGCACTTTTAAATGATAATTTCAAGTTCAAAATAAGGTACCATTGTCTTCAAAAAGAGTGAAAAGAACCATGAAAGTAGTTCATAGATAGCAGCACGTGGTCTATTTTTAGCACAGAATCTTGTTTTCCAGACCTCTTCTTAATATGGAGGGGCATAACAATCTTTAAATGTAGAAGAGAATTACAGTTGCAAAATATTTCAAATAATATGAACACTAAATTTTAAAAGAGGAAAGTAGTTATAGTGTGGCTTGAAGTAATTTATTTAGTTTGAACATACATTTTTTTTTCTATTTGCCCATATTTTCAAAATTACAATTGTACAAGGTAAAGAGAAAAAAATCAACCTATAAACATCTTTAAAATGATGTTTGGTGGTCCTCCCAACTCAGGGAAAAATTATTGGGTTCGTATTTATAGGTGAGAAAAAAATCCTTAAAATTTAAACAGAATTGTTTACGGAAGAAAAAGAAAAAATATCGTGTAATGGAATGTTAAAAAAATGAGTTGGGCCATTTCTAGGCAGTCAATTCAAAACTTGTAAAATATAAATGCCCTAGATCGGGAGAGAGGGCAACCAAATATTTTTATAACAAGTGGTATTATACGGCTAGTACATGTTCCATCACATACTTAGTAATGCATTTTTTTTATCTTTGACACTATTTTGAAAAACAAACAAAGGATTTTCGGGGGAGGGGGGGGGGGTTAGCACTCACTTTTTTTGCGATGATAGACATAGCATATGCAATGGACCTTTCATTGCAAACATTGTGCTCGCTTCTAAATTTCATAGAAACAACTCATTATATTTTATCAAGCTTCGTATGTTCAATGAGCAATAGCTCACAACGTTGTCAACATAATGAGACATATGATGCGTTTTTGTGTCCAAACATGACCCCATACAATGTGTGGGTCATTGCAAACATTCTAGCTATTTATGTGAGGTGCCTGAAGGAAATCCTATGACTGCCTATTTTTTCTATCTAACTTATAAACAAAATAGACATATGTACCAACTTTTCGAATGTAAGACATGTAATTACAATTTATTTTTCATGCACTGCGTATTATTTAACATTTTCAAATTAAATGCTAAGCATTTTCCTTGCAGTGCCCCATTTGAAAATAACTTCTATCGCCACAGAAAAAAGACCCACCGTAAACACATATGTTTAGGACATTTTTATCTTTTTTTCTTGAGTTTTAAAGAAACCAACAAATTATCAAGACTTGTTTCACGAAAAATTAAATATAAACATGGTAATAAACGCATCTATCTACAGCAGATATATGCACATGCCAACCATGTGCTTAGTGGAATAATATTAGCGAGGAATTTCGAGTTGAAAACAGAACAGTTTTTCCCGATTTGCTGGAGTGAGGTTAAAATCGCGTTTTTTCATTAATCAGACGATGCGATGCAACAAATAAAAGTAGTAAGTAATATAACCTAATGATTATTACTAAGTAATTTCTTGTCTTGGTGTTATTATGGTCGCATTTATTCTAAAATCATTGTTATTCGAACTCTGTGTGACAGAGGAATGGCGATAATAATTAGGACGAAATAAACACATGGCCTCAGGAAGACACCCATATGAAAAATCAAATTTTCAAGAATTATGGATAATGACGAGAAAAAAAACGGAACAAATGGTTGTAGCCATATTATCGATGAATCAAACTAACTCCATTTTCACTGCATTTTTCATATCATGAATGCTGTAGCTGCGCAGTTCTAACATGATTAATTTTCTTCTAATTAAGACAAAATAAACTTAATTGTTTACTAATTTTGGTCTCTAACAGTAGGTAATTAGTGCATTAGCACTTTGAGTAACTTTGAACTAGTTTAGTAGAGTATTAAGTGCATTCTTGGTATTTCTTAGTTTTCACCAGACTAGATCCAATATGGCTTGTACATCCCCCTTAATCAAAAGGACAAATATCACTATCTAGGGTTCTCGTTCTTGGATTTTTTTTATGGCGTCGAGCTTTAGCTCGACGCACATATAGCAATGATGAAATATCTCTGACTGTTCACCGCTTTCTTCATGCGCCAAATAATATAGTACTCGAACAAAGACCTTCATGTATCTGGCGTAGGAATATACATGCCACTTTTTGCGTTTATTCCATAAATTGCTTGAACATCATACAATTTCAACAGTCCTATACACAGTTGACAACTCACCCACTTTCGTCGGGTTACTTTTCGACCCTTAACCTGATTATTTTTTATGGCACGGCGAGTCATGCTTATCGCCCAAATCCCGGATTTCCGGATTTGGTTCGTAAATTAGGTTGTATTTTTAACTTCCAGTTACAAACCAAGCTTGATCTACGTAAACAAACCCGTTGGCTATGTGGATCAGTAGGCCAGTAAATTATCGGTGGAGGTGTAAACAATTAACTGGAATTGTTTTGACAAATCAAAATTTAAAATGGCTTCCGATACAGTGTAGAACAAGATTGTTATCAAGACCAGCAGGAACAAATTGAACAAAGAGAAAGAGAAACAATATTTATGTACATGTCAAGGAATCTTGGAAAACAACTTTCATCACATAAAATAGTGTTCGAAAACAGTGTAGGTCTTACTGTACATTTAGTACACATTACACTGGTTAATTAAATTAATTAGGCCTAATTATGAGAGAGGAAAAGTAATTTCAAATCCTCTAAAATTGGAATTACTTTTAAATTTAGCACCAGGGACCTATATATAAACAATATATATATTAGTATATACATGATATAGGTCCCTGTTAGCAAAAACCGAAAAGGCTTTTTTTTAAATGCAGACTTACCATAATTCAGGTCAATGCTGGACAATGAAACCAATTTTCTTATTTAAGGTAAGTCACTCCTGAAATTTGTTATATCAAGGATTTTTTGAGAAGTATATTTTGGATAAGTACTCATAAAGTGTAACTCAAAATCGCAAAGAAAATAGGGGGTCAGTGTGCATCCTACTGATCTACGGTACATTTAAGTTGACCTTTTTGCACTTAAATTTCATTTCTTTGGTTAATTACTTTAACCCTTATTATATTTGATGAGCTGTAAGCATGGCAATAAATATAATCTTATTTTACGTAAAATAATTTGAATAATATTTATCATTAAACAAATCTTGCAAATTAATGCGCGTAAATTATTGTGTGACCTTTTTGCACTAAAAAAATAACATATTTGGGGTATAAAAAACTTAATAGGCAATAAAAAATTTTCTTATATCAAACTTTTTACGACTTAAGTGCTGATCAGTCACAAGTATTGAGTAGTTTAAAATAATGAAAGAAAAAGGTGGGGTCAGTGATGTTAATTTTGAAATATTTGTCAAAATAAGTCATTTTCAGGCAAAAAATGGTGTAAATTTGATCTTGACTTCTTTAGTATATTTTCAATTTTTGGAAAAGTTTGTTGAGGGAAGGTGTAAAACTTAGTCTAAAAATATAAATTAAGACCTATATTAAATATTTTTAGCAATATCAAAACGGAAAATATTCTCCGAGTAAAGGTATGTGAGGCTAAATTTCCATTACATTAAATTTTATAAATGTGCAGATTTGCAGAATTTTCTGCTAAATATCCTTCCACCAAAAGAAATAGTCCCTCATAAATCTTGCTTCTTTGTAGATTTTTGAGCAGTTTTTTCATTGAATGTTAAAAAATTTACATTGTTGAATTTAATTATGTTATAAAAATTGAATTTTAATAAGTAGTATTGAAGTAAAAGCTTCTGCGTGAACTTTTCGAAAAAGCTGAGGAGTGACTTACCTTAACATGTCAATTTAATCAATAATTTTTCATCATTGTAAGTAAATAATTCAGTAAAGCCTTTTTTTTTAAATAGAAGAATTATCAATACATGTACACAAATGACCAAATTTTTACTTCTTGGGTGTTGGCAAGTATGGTCCTAATACTCTTTTACCGGGGTACTGACTAGTGACTACACATTCAAACCTGTTCTCAAGCTGTTCAGTTGGACCATATGAATTGAATGCTTTTATTTCATAAATGCTGAAATCGGGGTATTTTAGCTAGATATACATGTACAACTAAGCTATATAATTATTTCACGGTGTCACTGCCATATCTAAAGAGCGGCGCCATTGTGGCCCTTCAGGCCTTTGATTTTAAACTTTCAATGATGCATCTACTATGACACTTTTCAAATGAGCACTGCATTAACGATCCAAAATAAAAGATATATAAAAAAATTATATCATTCTAAAACACATCAAAACCATACATATTTAATAACATAACTATAGGCATTTTGAAGTCCTCCCCATTTATATGCTTAAAACAACTTAGTTTCTGTGTATTTTTAGTCATAGTTGCTGTTAGAATTTTGAAATGTTACAAATAACTGTTCTTTTTTCCTGATGCATTAGTATGCTTGAAGAAAAGTTCAAGTGCTAAAGGATTTCCCTTCTTAAAGCAATCAATCGAAAACGTCAGCTAGGGATAGAAACTATATATAGACAAAACCACAAGAGAAAACAAGATACAAGCGACAGCATTACTAAGCGAGAAAGTGATGGCTTCAGGGAACTTAACTACAATGGTTGAAATTATACAAAAAATAAGGGAGATGAAAGGCGATTTTAAAATTATTTCAGAAAATTAAAATATAATGAGAATTTTTAACCATTTCCGTCCTCTAAAAGTATTTCCCTATTTTTCTTTGATTCGGTGATACTAAAATAAAAAAAAATGCTATTCAAATGTCAAAGTCAATTCAAAACATTAAAGGGGCTGGGTGGTTGTGGCCATTTTTAGGCTTTTTTGATCTCCTGTAGAAGAAGAGCTCCATATAAAGATATAACAAAAGGATAATATTTTAAAACTAAAATTTATGAAATTTTTCTTTGCCAAATGATATTTGACAGTTTAAGATATCATATCCCAAAATTTAAGATATATCTGGTGGTTAATAAAACAAAATAATTTGGTGCCCCTCTAGCCTCCTTAAATATGAATGCCCTTGCACCAAGCGTTGGAAAGCCATGGCAAAGTTGATTTTCCCCCCCAAAGTATGACACTATTCAGGTCAAAAATAAAGAAGTCAAAACTGTTGGTATTTCAGAAAAGATCCTGTCACAAGAAATACATACTAGTGTCTGGAATATGCCAACCCTGGCACAAACCAGTCAAAAGTTACAGCGAAGGTTATAATATTTCGAAAGTAGATCAAACGCAATGGCCATGGTGTAATGATCAAAATTGTTGGTGCCAAACGTAAGGTCTTGTCCCAAGAATACACATGTAATATACAATAGCCCTAGCATAATCTATACATTGGTGTTCGGGCTTTCATACTTCACATAGGCATTCGATATGAAAAGTCCTCTCCTTAGAAAAGAATAATTTTTACTTCAACTTTGAGCTTGATCCACTTTTAATACCTTTAACCTTGACCATAACTTTTGTACATTTAAGGCTAGAGTTTTCATATGTCACAGGAATATTTCTCTTGACAAGACCATTTCTTATAGGCACCTAAATTATTTGTTACCCTTTGATATTGACCTCAGAGTTAAGCTCGTTTGGTCATAACTATTGAATGTGCTAGGGTTTTATATTTCAAGGTTGTTTTCTTTGTAACATGTCATTTTTTGATACCAACAATTTGATCTCTTGACCCTTGGGTTCAACTTGCAAATGAAAAACTTTAACCTTCGTTTTGAGCATTCACACAGGGGCATCAGATATTTTTTCCCACAAAAACATTTTGTTTCAACACATGCAAAGTGGTCACCCATCCAAGGGTTATAACTGCTTGTCGTCGTTTCACTTGCCTGAAATAGAGGGAGACTCTATACCGCATCACTTGAAAACTAGCTCACTAGCGAGGCAGTAGGTCTATAAGTTATTTCCTGTTATACTGGTCACTATACAAACCTTTACTGTGAATTACACACACGTTAATGATAATAATCATGATAATAATCGACATATAAATGAAACTAATTTAAGGGAGATTTACCCTACACATGTCTTTATAAGCACTAAATTAAATATTCTTAATTAGAAACAATTGTATTTTTCTATGTAGATGTGATTCCGTGCAATATTCAAGGAGTAACCCAGTGCGCGCAAAGTACTGACTATTCAACTCTGAGCGATCCTCAAAAATCATGTTTGTAAGTACCATATCCATGTATCTGATTAATCATTTCTTAGATTTCGAATATTAATTTGATATTCATTTGAATATAAATGGCTGTACAATGACTGGGGTGTTGCAACCACTATTGAAATAACGATCTCTATTGAAACAATTATTTCAATAGTGGTTGAGAATGCATTTCACTGGGGAAAGCAAACTTTTGCGCTTTTGACTTTTCTTTTAGGACGGTATCACAAAAAATACGTTTCGTTTGTTTGTATGTTGTTTAACGTCCCTCTGGAGATTTTTTCACTCTTATGAAGGCGCCACAACGTTTCGTAAGCAAATGTATTACAACTGTCGTTTGCTAATTTTTATTTGAAAATTAAAATAAGTATACGGCTAATTTTAATTTTCAAATAAAAATCAGTAAACGGCACTATGATTAATATGGTTGTTCATTATGTTAAAGTAATATCAAACAATAATACATCTATTAAATATTTAACCATGCATCTACGGTTTGTAGTGAGGTAAAATACTATTTGCTTCAGAAAGTATTCAACATTTTATGTTGTGGTAACCTATATACCAAATTCCCATACCAGTATTTATGTTCCAGAGTCATTCATATAGGACGAATTTTTAGCCCCATCGGACCTTAATAAATATACCTTTATATTAAATGCAGCTGCTTGTTTGTTCCGCTGTTTAAATCTTTCAGTCTAGAAAACTATATTTACAGGGAATGGAAGAAGTTTGAGGAATGTGTCTCACCCTTTTCTGACGCATGCGCCGAGAATCCAACTTATGTCGGCTTTTACAACAATATGAAGATATTGAAATCAAATTGTGGGGGTATGAACATCGTTTAAGAATACGACACCAATATCATAACTATATTTCAGAAAGTTCTAAACACTGCTCAATTCTACATTCCATTTAAAAAGAAATACAATGACACAATTCAAAACACTAGAAGTTTTATTTATTTTTAGCAATAAAAGATAAATTACTATGATCTTTATTCTCAAAGAAAGATTTTCCAAACTTGGTGACAAGCTCTTTACATCAACAATTATCTCGGTGTTGTAAGGATTCAAATATATATTCATGCTTAAAATACCAAAAGGATTTATTTTTCCTGGTACTTGAGCACATATAATATAATAATAGCGCAACATATAAAATGAAGGTAGCATGGAAACGTGGGTGCATTGTTATATAAAATATGCATCAATGCAAATTTATTTCAAAGAAAAAGGTTATTTTCTTCTAATAATTAAAAAAATGATATTATTGTCCTTGAAATTTAATTATTTAGTATACAGGTTTATAGAAGGTAATTACTGTTAATCTATGTTTCATTACAGGTTCTAGTGGTGCTTCTTGTGACGTCATGGGGCTTCAAAAATGCATGAGTGTTGTAGAATCATCACAGAATGAAAACAGTGGCCTGGAGGAAACTTGCAAGTAATTACATACATTTTTAACATACATTGTTCATAGTCATCAGGAGGCGGATCTTAAGGGAATGAGGACTTAGATCCCCGTGAATTTTTTGAATTATAAATTTATTTATTTTTTATGTCAATCTAACGCAGTGAATTCGAACCTGCGACATAAGAATTCAACCACTGCCTCGTGCAGACGACACATATTGGAATGATCAGCGAGCAATCAAAATCTAAGTTCAAGGGTTCAACGGCTTCAGACACCACATGTCAAAAGCGATACTGCAATGGATACATGTAAATAACGTGTATATCACGAGATCTCTTTCCGCAAACCATGTGTACATGTAATATTAATAGTGATTAATAAAAAACAGACTTGGCAAGAGCTATCCACAGATAATTCTATAGAGTATGCCGTATAGCAGACCTGGAATAAGCAGAACTCTTTGCTACTTTCTGTAATTCGATGTATACCCTATGTCCACATTATAACAAAATACAATCTTTTTTAATTACCTGAGTCATTCAAGTGGCCTTTGGCTATCTGTTTTCGTCCGTCGTCGTGCGTCGTGTTTTGTGTTAATATTTTCAGCCTTTTCTCTGAAACTGCTCTACCAATTTCAACCAATTTAGGCATACACCATCTTAGGGTGAAAGGGAACAAAAATTGTGAATTTCATGGTCCCTGTCCTCCTGGAGCCTGAGGGATGGGGCCACAACTACTAAAATTAATGCAATCTTTTAAATCCGCAACCACTAAAATTAATGCAATCTTTTAAAATCTTCTAACCGAGCAGTCAAACTGTTAACAAACTTAGTGTATAGTTACCGGGGTATGACCAGGAAGGTTGTCTTCCCAAACTGTAAATTTCATGACCACAGGGTCAGGGGTTCAGTTGCTAATGTGGGGCTCTATCAATTATAAAGTGAAAATTCATTTATATTTAATCCTTTGAAAATCTTTTCCTCTGCTCCTGGGTAATAATCGGAAGAACTACCTACATACTGTACTTGTGGTTACGTTAAAAAAGGTCCTTTTTCAAGATTGTGAATTTTATGGCTCCAGGGTCAGGGGCTCTGGTGTTAGGGCGGGGCTCTATCGATCATATAGTGACAATGCACTAATTCTTTGAAAACCGTCGTCTCTGCTCCTGGACATTAAACAAACTAACTACAGTACATACATAGTTATGATGTCAGAGCAAGGGTGTCTCTTCCTTAATTGTAAATTTCATGGCCCTGGGTCAGGGGTTCTGGTGTAAGGGCGGGGTTCTATGGATTATAAAGTTAAAATACATTAATTCTTTGAAAATCATCTTCTCTGCTCCTGGGTAATAAACAGATGAATTATGTACATATAGTTAATATGATGAGCAGGGTCCTTCTTCAAGAATTTTGAATTTCATGACCCCAGGGCCAGTGGTTCTTGTGTTAGAGCTCTATTGATTATATATTGAAAATTTATAAAAGCTTTGAAATTTTCTTCTGGGTATTTGTCAAACATTTATGATAAGCAAGGGTGCCTTTATCAAAACTGGGAAATGTGTGGACCCTTGGCCTGGAGTCCCTGTGGGATGGGGCACTACTGATTATTGCTGATAAGTTGAAATGCATTTTTTGTTCCCCTTCTCTGTCTATAGGTATTAGTAACCAATGTAAGCATGCATGCTAATTGTATAGTTATGTTTGGCAATGGTACCTCTTTCAAAATTGTGAATGTTATGGCCTCTGGTTTATAGCACGATCCAAATTCAATTGTTGGAAAGTTGTTTCATGATGCTCTAGTGACCTATAAGGCCCATGGGCCTCTTTATATCAACATGATATGCTGCCCTAAACCTGTTCCATTTTACTTTCAAACAATCACTTATTTAGTAAAGATAACGAAATATCACGTTTTCAGTTAAACATACGTACTCCAAATCATTATATACTTTTGAGTGGAAAAAAAATTAAGATAAAAATATAAGTGCATCACTAGAAACACTTTGTTTAAACTCTCCATCTTGGGATTTTCACTTGGGTTTTGTTTGTGACTGATGCTTAATTACAAGTAGTCATAAATTATCTACGCATGGGTAATGTTAACAACTGAAATTGCAAGCTTTCTGTTAATATATTCTCTCTAATTCGATACATCGGAAGTAAATTAAAAAAATTAACTCAAAATACTGTGTGTATTTGTGCTTCCCCCATCACTTTTGACTACAATTTACTTATATTTACATTAAAACATTGATAAATCATAATTCTCAGTTTGGTTATTTTAATCGAGCAAACTTTGTTAAGCCTGACGACGAAAAAGTTATCCGAATGCTGAAGGCAATATACACAGTCTTCTTTATGGAGTCTTTAGATTTTTTCTGTACAATATACAATTTGATGATTAGCTGTATTATAATCTTTTTGATAGGGTTTTACCAGCGTTTCTACAATGTGTTGATCCATTGAGAAAGGCATGCGACGACGGTGACCAACTTTACAATAATATAAAGGGTAGCATAGCTGACTTTGAGAGGAAGTGTGCAGGTAGGTCATATACATGTAGATTGTTACACTTTTCAAGGTAGAAGATTCTGTTGAGTTTTCATTTAACAAATTTGTAGTCATAATTAGTATGTTAAATGAAAATCGCTTGGGAAAGCAGGTAAAATGAATTCCAGAAAAAGAAGCTTTCGAAATACAAATGTATTAAAAAAATATCTTAAGAGTAAAATTTCTTAGGAAGTCTAGATAAAAAATGATAAAATTAGGACCAATTCCGCCCCCACAAGTAAAGTGGGATCACTATAATATGGTGATAAAAGTTTAACATTGAAAAAAAAAGAAAAACAATGATCTTAAAAATCACAGGAAAATATTATATGAAACACGGATGTAAGCTTCCTTGGGTGGTATAAATTCCAAATCCTTCAAATCATGGCTCCTGGGGGAGTATGGGGCAACTAAAGGGGATTATTTAGGGGGGGTGAAAATATGAATCACTGTACTAGAAAAGCTGGAACAAGCTTCTACATAAAACAACAAAACACGAATTATAATTTTTTTTTTTCAAAGCATGATATCATAGTGGGCCATTATAAGGGATGAATGTTTTACATTGAAAATATATAGAATAAATTTTCTGAAAATAAGTAAACCAGAAAGTATAAAACTTAAGTAGTGAAGATACATGTACAATTCTGTTTATCTTATAATCCCAGGGATTATTATTATTATCCACAGTAGTGGATCAAAGTTTTGCATAAAACTTTTTAAAGATTAAAATAAAAAAAAAACTTGTAAAGAAATTTAATAACCTATTTATATGCAGACATTCTCAAGTTGTGTGTATTTTGTTGTCACTACTATGACCTCGTGGAAGAGCTGGGTGACTAAAATCAGGATCAATTTGCACATAATGCAGGGAAATAAGTTTCTTCTCCCTAACTGATATGTACCGTATATACTCGCATATAAGTCGGTTTTTTGGGAGTAAATCTCTGATCTAAAACTCTTTGTCCGACTTATAGGCGAGCTATTAAAACTAAGGATTTATATGAGGTCATTCCATCTGATATACAAGCTTATTTAATAAAACCGACTTATAGGCGGTATTTCTTTTAAGTTAGAGATTAAAGTTAATGATATTATATAGGGAAAATTGTCAAATTTCCAATATTTTTTTTCAGAAAAAGCGAATTGGAATATCAGCAATGCTTTTTATTATTGAAAATTAATCAATAAATATAATTTAGTTTAAAAAACAATAGGTATCCAGGCATTCAGAGAAATTGTCATGATTTTTTAACTTATTTGGTATTTTTTGTCTTCTACTTCCGTCATATATTCTATAATACATAGTGTAAAAGGCTTTTTCCAGCATTGCAAGACATCACAAATCACTTCTCATTTTATATCATTCTAAAAAGCATTGGTATCTAAGACTGGATTCAAGAAAATCTTATTTCTCTTAAACTGTATTATTTTTTTCTCCGTTTGTAGAGTACAAATGTCAACTTTTATAAGACCTTCTCTAAGACTTCCTAAGACCTTTAAATTTTAATTTTTGGAGTTATCCTTCCTGGCTGAGGATCGGATATCCTTAAATAACATGCTTTTATTAGTAAACTCGGTAACTTGATTACCCGTTACTTTGGATTTCTAATATGTGCTTTCGGGAAGAGCCCTAGGAATACGGCATTACTACTTCCGGCCAACAGTGCTACTAATTTCCTCTTTCCCGATCAACGACGTGTAATATTTTGACCCAAAATGGTCATGATGGAGATTTCTTCCTATCCATTCACAGGGTCCTGTGTTTCATAATGCTAACATTCTCAGATGGCGGATATCCATGCTTACAACTTTTCAACGTTATACAAAACCATTCACCACTATAAGTTATCGTCCGATTTTTGATATCATTGACAACGCTTTTTCAATAAAAATGGAACTCGTAAATTTACTTACCTTGTCATTGGTCATTTGCAAAAATCATTTTGTTAAAAAACACTTTGATCGTACACACAAGTTCTCTGAAGTTGACAAAAAAAAGCTTGAGTTTCTGATTGACAATATCTATGTGGTTTTTGGAGACCAGGCCCCGGGATCATGAAACAGACTTAGACTTAAGTCAAAATTTCAATTATCTATAAAATCTTTTAAACTTGTTGGAAACTCATAATTTGCATTGATGATATAAAATTGGAAGGCATTTTCATTTTGGGCTGCTTGACCCTAAAAAAAATCAGCATCTAAGGCATTTTTTGACTTAAGCTTAGAATTCCAACAATCCTGGATATACAGTCCGTTATTAGCAGTTCTATTTTTGTATTCATATGAAGCAGAATTTGTGCACAATCTTATGTGTGAAAAGAGGAAAACACTTGTTATGGCCTTCAAATCGACATTTTCATATATCGACGACATATTGTCAATTAATAATGGTAATTTCCATTCTTCTGTCGATACGATATATCCTGGTGAGCTTGAGATAAAAAGATACTACAGAGTCTAACACATCTGTTTCATATTTGATTATTTTACTTGAAAAATACGTTAATGGTAATGTAACAACCAAGCTCTATGATAAACGTGACGACTTTAACTTTTCTATCGTCAACGTCCCTTACTTATGCAGCAATATACCTTCATCACTTGCATACGGAGTTTATAAATCTCAGTTTATTCAATCGATACGCAAGAGCATACTCAACGTATGAACAATATCTAAAGCGATGTGAATTATTATCAAACAAGTTAATGAAACAAGAGTATCAGCAGGCTCTCCCCCGCGTGGCGCAGTGGTTAAAGCGTCTGCTCTAGAGTCGAAGAGTAAGGAATTTATTCTTACGTCGCGGGTTTGAATCCTATTGTGGGACGTGGAGACTGGGCCTTTGGCTGAGACCGTATAAACGGAGGTCCCGTGTCGCAGTAGGTGCTTGCACGAAAAAAAGATCCTTCCCTTATCGATGGCCCTGAGTGCCAGGTATAGGACAAAATTTGCAGCTATCCACCGGCAAGTGGTGGCGTCTCCATATGAGTGAAAAATTCTCGAGATGGACGTTAAACAATATACAATCACAATCGTAAGTTCATTGGTCGATACAATGACCTTGTCAGATTTAGTCCATTGTTTATACCCTGAATTGACGACGGATTTTCCCGTTATATCCCGGTCATGACAAAGAGCACACGGCGGGTGTGACCGGTCAGCAGGAGATGCTTACTCCTCCATGGCACCTGATCCGACCTATAATGATTTGGAGGTCCGTGTTTGCTCTGTTCATGTTTTGTATTGCTTTATGGATTTTTTATCTTGAATACTTTTCCTTTTCTCCATATGTTTCACACAAAGTACATATGTACAAGTTTTGCATGAAGAAAAACATGCCACATGAGTGATGAAGAAAATGATTCGATATGATATAAGATATCCTCGACATAGTCCATATCGATGTTAAGTACCATCTTTTTGAAGGTAAAGTATTCAAACAATAACACATGCAGACACAATAGCTGCGACGGTACTCAACAAGAGTTAAGCAATTAATATTGTCAATATCGACCATACAATGAACACTTCATATAGTGAGAGTATTCAAGTAACTCGCATCTTGAAAAATACAATATCAAGTGTAACCATAATTCTTTGAACAATTGATTGGATATCGATACGTTATCGTACATATTGACAGAAAGTATTCTTATTTACACACAAGTATAGCAAATATTGTAGCAAACTATAAAAAAAGTCAACTGTCGAGATCGTAACTACATCATGTATTAGACACTAAGGGTAAGATGGGGCCATTAAACGAGATAAACTATTTTCATAAGAATATGTATTTAAAATCTGCGGGACACATTATTAAGGACGTGATTTAAAATATAAACATCTTCTTGGTGTGTACAGATAATACAACCCGGGGTAGGTTGGGTCACGATATGGGGGTCAAATTATTATTCAAACAAGCTAATTCAGAGAATTCGTGTCCCCCGCTTAAGGAAAAAGTCGGCTCCCCCTGACTGAATTTGTAGAATTATTAAATGTATACATGTATACTGAAGCAAATAAAATACATGTATGTCAATATGCATATACATGTAAAGATTTGATTGCTTATTCTTTATTATGTGTATAGAAGATTTTTTATATGGAATATTTATCACACTGTAATGATGATTTTATAACCTCATAAATTTTTCATTTCACATGCTGAATACTATCATTTAGTAAAAAAAAAAAGTATTTTTTACCGGACCTCTCACATATGAAGCGAGAGACATAATCACTAGACCACGGAGTCGCTTTACATGGAGCGAAGTATATGCAGAACTGAAGTCACATACATGTATATATTCATGTTTTCATGTTCGGTATTCTCAAAATTTTACACAATCCATGGTGTTTGATTTATTTAGCCTTTATTAAACAGTTCTAATAGATGTAATAAGAACATAAAGTCCGCCGAGAACCTGTTTTATACGCAATAACTCTCCTCATGCCCCTGCGCTAAAAATAGCGACATGTAATACTATAAATACTAATAAAACAAACGGGGCGGGGCACTTTGAGAGGGGCGAGAGACGTCCTAGGGAATAAAATTACATTGCATAACCTCAAAATCTTCTTGAAATATCCAGGAAATGATAGTGTTACACACAGACAGAATGTATAAATTTACGACCTTGAACTTTGACCTTTTGACCTCAAAATCAATAGGGGTCTTCTTTAGGCCACAGGGAGTTGTTATGTAAAATTTCTTTGCTATAGCTCAAATGGTTCTAGAGATATCGTGTGGAAACGAAAGTGTTTTAACAGACAGAATTTGCCTATTTATGACCTTGACCTTTGACCTTTTGACCTCAAAATCAATAGGGGTCTTCTTTAGTCCATAGGGAGTTGCTATGCTAAATTTCATTGCAAAAGCTCAAAGGGTTCTCGAGATATCGTGTGGAAACGAAAGCGTTACAGACAGACAGAAAGACGGACGGACGGACAAACCCAAATTAATATCCCCCACTTTTCAAGCGGGGGACAAAAAACTTTGTGAGTATCACAGGTCAATAGTTAATTAATATTGGCAATGTGCTCTAGGTTTTTACGGACCAGCGTGAGCTTTGTTACCCCTAGGCCTTTCTTATGATTATTGGAAAAACTGAACTGTTCATCATAATTCGATCTCCGTTATTAGACGACAGCCTTCCTACTATTAAAAAAATCTTCAACCTCCAGGAAAAGAAAACTGAAGTTCTTTTAAGTGAAGTATCTACTTAATAATTTTAATTTAACGGCATTGTTACGATGCTTGGTGAAGTCTAGAGCTCCTATAAATGCACAAGAGGAAAAAAAATTCTGTTTTTTTTTTTATGACACAGATAATCTAGTTTTAACATTTTTTACGTATTCACCGTACATTCTTAGTTATAAAACGACAGACCATCAATAAGCTACAAATGATCCCATGAATTACAGCGAAGTGATGTTAACCTCGGCACAACTTCGCCCGAGGGGAATCATTCTGATCATGCTGAATGTGACAACTAGTAGTAGTGGTATAAGATCAACCTTACATCTTGTAAATATGCAAGAATAAATGCAGTCTTTAAACTTTGCTCATCTGCAAGAATGCAAATAAAAAAATAAACTGCAAAGCAAAATACGTTGTAATGAAATTTACAATCTCGAACATTTCGTTGAATGAAGAAGCTTGGCTATAATTGCAAATGATGTGGTACACATGATAATTCTTCCTGCATTTGTCGACCATTGGAAGAGCCGGCATCAGTCAGCCTGCTTATTGACTTTTTCTAACCATCAATTAAATAATTGATAGTACATTGTATTTGAAGCATTCTCTCTTGCATACGACTGTAACTCCGCCTTCTCTGAGTCAACGTTTGCAGACGTTGGTATTAATCATCGTAATACTAGCTTTCCCCTTAGGAAACCCCGCAGACGGCATTCAAAAGAGTGTATGTGTGTGTGCGTTTTGCAGATAGGTTTAAAAAATCAAAAGATATTTGATAGCATATTTTGCACTGCAAGAAAAGGCAATATGAATTCTCTGTTTAAAATCGGATTTACTTTTATTTCCGTCTGCTTCGCAGGTAAGATGAAAAAAAAGACAATCTAATATATGTAGATATTTATTACTTACATGCATTCATAATGAGATGAGGCGCATTCCTGTTTAGGGGGTGGGGGGCAGGGATGTAATCACGGAATGTTAGAATATTTAAAGGGGATAGAAGTCTGTATGTGAGTAATTAACATAAGGTCTAGCCAATCTAATTGATCCGAATCTTCAGGGCGACTGATCGGTCAAGGCCAACGGATTAAAACACCGCCAACAGAGAGCACGTGTTGTCCTGCAACTGGATAATGATTTATTATAAAAAAAATTAAAGATGAACAGAACAAGTTTCGAGATAAATTATCTCTGAAAACAAATGTAGGAAAGTTGAATAGCTTTGTTACAATAACCTATTTTAATTTGTATTTGTGGTAATTTATCTGACCTCAATTTTTCTAAATAAGCGATTCTTTTTAAATGCCCACCGTCTGATAAGCCATCGTGTCCATGTCAAGAACTAATAAAAAGGGATTTTAAAACGAAGTGGAGAGAAAAGCTGGGCTAAATAACAATGCAGTTTTCTTTAATTTATATTTTCTAGTTTTTTATGCAATTTTAGCTGGAACAGATATTCAATTCTTACTAAACGTTTTCTTGGTAAGTAACTGCAGACCTGAGCGCTTTAGTTACTAGTAGTAAAATTATCATAGAAATGTCGCATTTCATTGAGAGAAAAAAAAAGTCAGGTGTTAATTTAGATGAAAAAGTGCATTTCATTGCAGTCCCCCGCCTACTTTTTTTTACGTTGAAATTATGCGTCCATAGCCATTTTGGGTAATGAGCCTTTTTGTTTAGTTTTCTTTATTTCACTTTACCTAATGTAAAAACCTTTGTCACATAATTCCTCACTGTAAAAAAAGCTTATTAAAACGATAGATATTTATTCGTATGCCGTATAATATACACATGTTGTGCGTCCTTAGGGAGTATCCAGGTATACAATTAATTTGTACGCTGCATATTTAAAGTGTCAAGAGGGCGCTGTTCTGTAGTGTGAACCTCGTTATAGATGGCTTATCATAAGGCATTTACTTGTTCAGTTTACAGAACTCCCATCTTTTTGTGTAGACTGCCGGGCAGAGCGACATAAATAGAGATATTTTACCCGGCGTCTGTCTGTCCACCTTTTTATGTTGAGAACTGTAAGGGGTTTGTTTTGTACATATATTGTTTGGCACTTTGATTTTACAAAGTACTGTGGTTATCGACCTCATGACTCTTTATCTACTTTTCAAAAAAAGTCCCTAGTGCTCATATACAGCATAAATTCTGGCTTTTAAAGGGTAAACTATGCCATTTAGCATATGCACTTAGTAATTATCAAAAAGCATACTTGGAAAATTCATTATAACCATACTGCACTATAATAAAGCATTACAATTTACTAGTCCCTGACCTTTGATCTATAAACCGGGCAATTAAATCTAGCTTATGGCTTTTGAATTTTTAGACGCAGGAATTTGATGATCCAAATGAATGTTTGTTTTTCCTTTGCATGTAAATTTAAAAAAAAATTATCATGCTCATAGTAAAAAAAAATATTGACCTGTTGACCACTCTTTGATTTCTTTTTACATCTTTTGTAAAGCTACAAAGCAGGCGATACGTGCGTTACTCAGTTAATTGGAACACTCTAGTTTTGTGAAATGTTCGTTCTTATTCTTTAATTTAATAACTAAGTATGAATAAGAAATATAGATAGTGATTGCTTTGATTGAATTATCCATAATTTTGATACATAATTTAACCATTTGCCCCATTTTAGGTTACTTAAGATTTTGTCGGTTTTCGTTCGTCGTGGGGGGTGCTTGGGTCGAAAACTTTGGATAGGTGAAGGAGTACAACTTTTTATGCCCCCGTAAACGAAGTTTCGGGAGTATAAAGTTTTTGTCATGTCCGTCTGTCTCTCTGTCTGTCTCTCTGTTTGTCTGTTTGTCCGCAAAAACTTTAACCTTGCCCATAACTTTTGATTTAGTGGAGGTATGACTTTCATATTTCACATGTGTAATCCTTATGACCACCAAATTTGACCTTTTGACCTTGACCTTGGAATTTGACCCACTTTTACATGAATATTTTAAATTTTTACTTTGGCCAAATTTTTTGAACAGTAGATACCAGGACATTTATACTTCACATATGTATTCTTTGTTGAAAGACCTTTCATTGGTTACCAAAACACTTGACCCTTTGACCTTGTAGATTTCCGTACTTGTGAAAAAACTTTAGCCTTGGCCATAACTTTGAACGGTAAGGGATAGGGCTTTCATATTTCATATATGTAATCCTTGTGAGAAGTCCCTTCATTGGATACCAAGAACTTTGACCCCTTGACCGTTGAGTTTGACTGACGTTATAAAAAAGCAAACCTTGACCATAACTTTTAAAGGGTTAGGGCTAGTGCTTTCATACTTTACATATTTAATCCTTGTGACAAAACCTTTCATTTGATAACAATAACTTTGACCCCTTGACCTTTACCTTGGAGTTTGACCTTTAAAAAAATTAACCTTGGCGATAACTTCCGAACGGTTAGGGCTAGGGCTTCCATACTCTACATAAGTATTCTATATGGCAAGACTTTTCATTGGATACCAATTACCTTGACCTTTTGACCTTGACCTTGGAGATTTTTGTACTTATTGAAAAAACTTTAACATTGGCCTATTTTCAAATTTCGTAATTGTTTTCCAGTGAGAATACCCTACTTTTGGTACCAATTCATTAAATTTGCATTAAAGAAAAGTTTATTCTTTGCCATGTTGCCATACGGGGCATGGCTCTATTGATTATTTTGTCATGTATTAATTCTTTGAAAATCCCTTTCTCTCTGCTCCTAGATATTTTGCAGGTATAAATCTTAGCGCAGATAATAATGAGCAGAGTAGCCTATTCAAAAATTTTGAATTTCAGGGCCCCTGGATCAACGGTTCTGGTGTTAGGAAAAATGCTATAAAGTAAGACAAATAGGTCGTACATTCTTTTAACTTCTCTGCTCCTGTATATTTTAAAAGCAGAAAAATAAATTGTATGGTATGGTAGTATAGGATTCCTTGTACACAAACTATAAAATTTACAGTCCCAAGGCCAGTGTTTTTGGAGTTTATATAGGTATAGTGAAGTCTGGATATAATTATGTATATATATATATATATATATATATATATATATATATATATATATATATATATATATATATATATATATATATATATATATATATATATATATATATATATATAAGACCGTCTTATCGTACATTTCTTTGAAAATCTGATTTTCTGCCCCTAAGTACTTTGCTTTAAAATTTTGTACTTTTTTGAATTGTTCATGCATTGTTTGTTTTTTTTCCAGGGTATTGAAATTTTCAGCTTCTTATCTAGAAGTACTGAACCAACATTGACATATGATATAACATTAATGGGAGTAAGGGTTGAAAAATTGTAAAATTAGCCTTTAGAGATGGGGCCAAATCCTTCAGAATGAGAGCTTTCTTAATAAAATCTTATTTTTTATTTGTGGGCATGAAGCAGTCAAAGTGTTGGCATAACTGTAATAACTGACATAATTGGTAAATTCATTGGCTCAAGGCGTTTTTGGAGTTAGACTGGGTCTTTCGTGTAAAGATAGTGAAGTGTATAAATTATTTAGTCTCTTTTTTTCTCTTATTTATTTAGTAGATAAACTAGATATATTTTTATAATAAAGTTTGAAATTTATGACCCCAATGGCAGAGGTTCTAGCCGTAAGGAAGATAACGTGTCCAAAAATATGAAGCTGTGATAGCCTGTGAAATACCTGTATTTGTAAAGAATTTAATTTAATAGTGATATATTATTTTTTAATTAAACAGAAAAAATTCCTTTTTTCAGGAGTGTCTTCAGAATGTAACATAGTAGAAGTGTCCAAATGTTTTACATCGTTTAAAATGCCAGAAAATACGCAATCGATGTCACCGCAAGACAAACAGACCATGTGCGCGTGAGTAGTTGTTGTTTTTTGACCTGTATTTTTTACCACTAGCACTAAGCTTGGAACAACTTAAGAAAAAGTGTTTTTTTTTGGCAACTTGACTGTCAGTAAACATTGTCAATACAATAAAAGCAAAGAATAAAAAAATTATACATGATATATTGACAATTTTTTTTGCTCACACTGATAATGTCAGAGCATCATAATTGCTCAACCTTCAGCACCGTCTTTGGTGTTGTCACATAGGCGTCGGAACCGGGGAGGTCTAAGGGGCATAGCCCCCTTTTTTGCAAATATATACGTAAAATAGGCATTGAAAATTGGGGTTCACCTTTTTTAGATCACCTGAGCCGAAGGCTCAAGTGAGCTTTTCTGATCACATATTGTCCGTAGTCCGTCCGTCCGTCTGTAAACTTCTCACATTTTCAACTTCTTCTCAAGAACCACTAGGCCAATTTAAACCAAACTTGGTACAAAGCATCCTTGGGGGATGCAGAGTTTAAATTGCTAGGTTTCCTTCTAAGGGAGATAATCAAGAAAAGACAAAAATAGGGTGGGGTCATTAAAATCTTCTTCTCAAGAACCAGTTGGCCATGAAAGCTGAAACTTATGTGGAAGCATTCTGGGGTAGTGTAGATTTTAAATTGTTAAAATCATGTCCCTCGGGGGTAGGGCGGGGCTACAATAGGAAATCCAAGTTTTACATAGAAATATATAGGAAAAATCTTCTTCTCAAGAACCAGTGGGCAAGGAAAGCTGAAACTTAGGTGGAAGCATCCTGGGGTAGTGTAGATTCTAAATTATTTAAATCAATGGGGAGGGGGTTTAGAGGGCAACAATAGATATGAGAACAGGGGAAATCTGGTAAAGAACTGCATCACCAAAGTAACTCAGGTGAGCGATGTGGTCCATGGGCCTCGTGTTTTTTATTGGTTTAGCCCCCCCCCCCTTTTCACTTAGCCCCCCCCCCCACTTTCAATTTGCTATGTGTCATTACAGTTTTAATATGTTTTCAGGGTAGATTTCTCTCCAATGAAAACTAAACCATGTGTTAATCAGCCTTGTTTACTAATTGAGACTAGTTATCTTCAAAGCATTACACTTGGGGGAAAAGTGGAGGACCAACCACTCGCCTCCCTTATCCCCCAAAGCCTGTGAAAGTTTGATTCAACAATAATCACGTTGCAGAAGATGCATTTTTTGGTTAAAACTTTTGAGAAAAAATTGTCAGGTTCATTTTGTAGAGCAGATGATAACAGAAATGCATTCGTTTATACTGACTGACAGGAAATAAATTTTAACATTTAAATGAAAGATATCACAGTGCCATAAATATTGTATTTTACAGATCAATTCAAGCTGTGAAAAGCTGTATTGAGCCATACAAGAGCGCTTGTGCTGCAAATCCGTCTTTTACGACGATGATGAGTAGTATGACTCAGGCTGCTATGCTTTGCGGTAATTACTAATTAGTTATTTGACCTTTGAATGAAATACAAGCAGATACAGAGAATAGTCACTAACCCCTGGTCCCCTTGACTTGGATGCAGTAATTCATGACATATTTGTACTGTATTGTCTTTGTGCCCTGTTCTGTCTTTCCATCATATCAAGAATTTTAAAGAATTTGAATTAATAAAAGTTAAGATAAAAATGATGTAAAAAAGCATCAGATTCTAATGTGAGTCTTTGAATATATTCCTTCTTCTCTGTTATTTTCTATTAATCCATTAAAAACCTAGCTCAGTTGACTTGGTTTTGGTCTTGTAATAATAACAAAGGAACATTAAAGTATGTGTTGCCTGTTTCGTAACTCCATTAATGATAGATCAAAATAAAAGGTCAAGGGGTCAGATATACATTTGGAAAAGTCTAATCACAGGTAATGAACATGTAAAATATATGAAAGCAATGTCTTCTCTCCAATAAATGTTAAGGTTATGAAAACCAAGGTTAAAGTTTTTTGTGACAGACAAATGAATGAGATTTAGTAGTGTCCCCTCGTTTTCACAAAAGTATGGAACAGCAAAAATTAGGGAAACAAATTTAATTTCTGCTTAAATTTCCACATATTTTTCTTTTAATAAGAATTCTAACTTTTTGATGTAGTTTTCTAAAATAATAAAGAGAGCTGAATTCTTAGTTCAAATCTAGAGCGATTATTCACATCTTAATTAGCACCATGACATAAGAAAACTCCAATCAGAGATGGGGGACAAGGAAATGTTCAATGTTTCATTTTGTTTTTTAGGAGATTCTGGTTGCAATTTAATGAAATGCTACTCAGATGCTGGGATTGTAATGGATAGTACTGGAGGAAAATCACCAAATATCAGCTGGTAAACCCCTGTACTACTACATGTTTATTATATAATTTGTGTATTTATTTACGAAATGTTTATATCTTATACAATATGTTCCAAACAATCAAAACAATATTAAAGCAAGTTTGTTTCGTTTATGTTTATAAGGGTAAGGATGGAACCACTTCAATATATTTTAAACTGAAGGCTTTTATTTTGAAATTCATTTCAGTGATGGTTATATGTCATTGAAAACATGTGTAGAAAGCCAGGCATCGGCCTGTCAGCAGAGTCCAGTTTACTCAAATGTTCAGGAATCTCTTGAGAAAGCAGGAGTAATGTGTGGCTCTCCAGGTAAAATAATGAATAAGAAAATTCTTGCATGTTGTTTAAGACAGGTATTGGATCTATTTCTGTATGTTTTACTTTTGTTCCTTTCCTTTTTAGCTCACCTGAGCTTTACTGACCACCTGTTGTCCATAGTCTGTCCATCCATCTGTCTGGACATACACAAGCCACAATAGGGAATTAAAGTTTTGCATTGAAAAATATAAAACAGGAAAATTCATCTTCTCAAGAACCACTGGGCTAGAAAAGTTGCAACTTTTGTCCCTTTGCAGTGGGGGTGGTGGGTGTCAAGGTATCAAAAGATGACAAGGGGACAAGTTTAATGAAGAAAAATAGGGCCTAAGTTGTGAGCATTGTGGTCCATGGACCTCTTGTTACATCATATAATGAAGTGAAAAGAGCAACAAAAGGCCCATGGGCCACATCGCTCACCTGAGAAACTGGTGATGCAGTTCTTCACCAGATTTTTCCTCTTCTTATATCTATTTTAGCCCCCTAACCCCCTAACCCCCCCCCCCCCCCTGGGTGCTCATTTAAACAATTTAGAATCTACACAACCCAAAGGATGCTTCCACATACATGTCAGCTTTTCTTGCCCACTGGTTCTTGAGAAGAAGATTTTTATGCACCTGGATCAATAGATCAGAGGTGTATATTATTTTTGTCCTGTCTGTTTGTCTGTCTGTTGTCAACTTTAACCTTCGCCATAACTTTTGAACCATGAGAGATAGATACTTGATTCAAATTTGGTATGTATATTCCACCAATGAAGTTCTTTTAAATGACACCAAGGACAA